ATTACAAAACATTATGTCACAGTGAAGTCCGAAAGTAACGCAATATCAAACCAAAGTAGTATTCGAAGTATGGATATAACATTTTACCGTTGCTACAGTTACACTATTATTATTAGTGATCCGCGTTGAAAAGAATGCCAAACATTCACAAGGGAAGAAGGTGCATTAACTCCAACTCTCCAATATGGCTCTAGAGACGATTATAGTTAAACTCCTGAGAAAGGTGGCGGGAAATGGCAGAGTAATCTAATTAAGTAAGGGCCTGAAATACAGAGCCTTGAATACAGAGCCTTGTTGTTATGTTAAACGGTAAACAATGTAACGATGAGATAGCGCTAAAGATAATGTTCCTGGTTCCAGTATGCTTCATTACTCATGTCTCATAGACGCGGAAACGTCTGAGTCAATAAAAGACAAATTAGTGACAGATGAGCCAAATTGTAATAACAATATTATCATGTGCATTAATTAGCTCCTTATCAAAACCAGGTAATTGTGGTGTGGACCAATAAACGCCAGCCCGTAGTGTAAAAGTGTGGTGAATAGCTAGATATAAATTCATTAATTAGCCAATTGACTTCTTAATTGGCAAAATAACTCAAGAAAACCCGGTATGCGACGTTTCATCCTCTCATGTTTCATCCTTAACGTTTCACCGACCAATACGTAGCCTTAATTAATCGTGAATTTACCCACACACCTAACAGTAACCACTAATAACGAAAGCTTAACAGAAAAACTTTATTCAAAACATGGCCGCCGGAGGTGAAATGTCTGGTCCCCAGTAGTAGCAGCAGTCGGCGGTGATCTGTAATTGAGTTGGCACAGACTCAGCTATTGAACTGTCAGTGTGTTCAACGCGGGGGAGAGGACTGATAACAGAGTTTCAGATTACTCCTCATCTTGACAGGTGTAATTAAGTAAAACAGGGATTCGCTGTCGCTACTCAGGAATAATATTCCGAATATTCAGCTGTTCAACCTAATAAAGTTCATTGTTCAGTATGGTAATGATAGGATATTGGCAGAGGATGGACTGTTTAAACTTTTAAATAATTCGTTCATCGGTTCATCAGAAATGTTCAGTCATAATTCTTTGGGTGCGGACATTAGATTAATGATCATTTCATATGGTAACTAAACAACATCTCTGGTACTACTACTGAAGTCAGGGGACATAAAAGTTCTAGTTTCCATAGAAACCACGCCAACAGTGATCGTGCGTGATCTCTTAGAAGGGTGTCAGAACAATCTCTAAATCACAGAGTTATAATTAGTAATGCCTACTCGAACACTATAAGTTAATCTAAATCACATGATGATAATGTCTACTCAAGTAAAAACTTCAGGACTGTTTCTATTTTGGCTCGAGATAGAGAGTCATCACAACACACAACAAACAAGAAATCCGAGTAAGGAAGTAGATTTCGTACCGTCCGATGTAGGCTAATGTAATATGCAGTGAAAGTATGTGATAATACAAGAATCGAGGTATCATTTTTAGCTTAACTTAATAATTAATTTAATAAATGGGAACCGGAAACGATAAGTTAAAATTGATAATAAAGATCAAAATGTTGAGATCGATCTTATCTTACTTTAGATGAACAGTTTTACATAAACTGCTTTGACAAGAACAGTGAATTTTTACGTCTTAACTCATACATAACCTAAGATCATTTATCAATGTGTCCACTTGAAAATGACTCTTAGTCTATTGTCAGATGTATACAACACCAAATTGGTGTGTTTTTCTATTTCCTTAGCACTATGTTAGTATGTTTAAGCTGAGATCTAAAAAGTACGACTAACGACTTTCATGACTGGACTGAATCTCGCCGAACGCCAGCTAACCTGAAGAGACGCAAGCAAAAGCAACACCGAGTCACACTGTCCAGTTGAGCTTCAAATTATGCGCGTGTGGTTTGGCGCGCGACGGTGGTAACACGTGTACAATATACGTCATCCTACCTCTTGAAACTGTGTCGGATGGAATAGAAGTGCGAGCAGCGTAGATATTGTGTTGTAAAATCACACCACACTGGGTAAAGGATACAAGGGCGGTGGACACAAGAGCGTCACTTTCCTAAAAGGGTGGACACGAGGGCGAATGATTCATTTTAGTATGGACACGAAGGCGGAACAAAAACCGTCCTAAATGATGGTCATTTTAACTGAGATTACTGATGGTTTGAAAAATTGAGTGAACACACCTCAGTGAAATTCATCTACTAAAAGTAAATACCTGTTTTGGTACGTACTATCCCTGATCTAAACCCGGGTAACCGTTGCGTCAGCGACTGCGATATTTTGAAGACCAAGTTTGTCACATGAACATCTAGGCACTTAGGCAGTGTTTGATTGGTCTAAGCACGTTACCAAACCCCAAAATCTGCTGCTGAGTTGGCTGAGATATTTAAGAAAAATCTCTCAATTTTTGGCTCGTTTAAATCTGGGTGATTATTTTTCACATCAGTATGTTTTGTTTCAAATTTACACGTGAGTAGATCCAATTCTTCGAGCTAAGCTTTACCTCAACCTGACTGTTGAGGACATCAAAAGACCTGTTTTTCCATGTTAAAGTGATTCATGTGATTCGCCATCGTGTCCACCCTTTTAAGAAAGTACCGCCCTTGTGTCCTACGCCCTCGTGTCCGGTTCCCGGGGAGAGGCCGTTCTACAAACGGATCTTTACGAAAAAGAGCAGTTTCTGTATAAAACACGAATTAAAACTTAAATCAGAGGACATAACTGGTTACAATATTTTTACACAAGACCGTGCTTCATCAGATGAAAAATAAAACAAAAATTTCGATCCCTCCTCCCCAATTCGTCAAACAAATTAAACACAGTTATCCGGTGTAAAGTTAACCGAAAGACAATGTAACGCTATCTGATTCTTTGAATTCGTATGGAGACCATTTGGCATTTTCGCCTCAAGAAATGAAAACAAGTTCACCAGGTTCAAGATCCTAAGGGATAAACTTGTATTTGCTGGACCAGATGAGCTCTTTCTGTTGTCTCAGGAAATGATAGTAACACGTGACCAGTTCTTCATGCCGATCAACTTCGCTAACGGTTGCTCTTTTTGACCTTCCTTCAATGTTATAAGCATAAGCTGCTTGTAATCATTCTTTGGTTTATAATCGATCTGACTCAGTGATTTGATTATTTTTTCAATTTTGGTTTCACTTTTTCCTGTAGACCACTTTCGAGTTAATGTCGTTGTCTCCTTCTAAAAGTTTAGTTAGTCCGAAATCTTCTTCGTGGTCTTTTCAAAGAATCCGATCATCAAACATGCTAGCAGGAAAGCAGATAGAATGGCTATGAAATTAGCAGCTTTCATTGCGCGGAGTCATCGGATCTGGCTATTTCTAGGACTTTTCTTATTAACGATGTCGAAGTAGAATTGTTGTCGCTGATATTCAGATACACTGATCGTGGAACTGGAGCAGCGGAGAGTGGCACTGTAAGTGCCTAGATGAACAGGATTCTTCTGGTCATCGTTAATGCGTTTATAAAAGTTTGCGAATGTATAACTGTAAACAGTGATAAAGATTGCAAAGAATGTTTATGGAAAAGTAAAAATATGATCGCGTGTACAGCAGGGTGTCAGAATTATTGGCGTGTTTGAAATTTTATGTGTATTTTATGATGAAATCAATATTTTTCGACGGGTCATAACTTTACTTCTGAATATCGAAATTACAAAATTCAAAAACTGGTCTGTAGACAATCGTCTGAACTTTTTCTTAAATTCAGAATTTTGTGTTGATGTACCTCAAAACCCATAATTTAGGCCGTTATTTAAAGGGTCGATTCCATACTTGGTTAGATTTACGAAGGAGTAAGGGATTTATGTGTAATTTTTTTTTGGTGAATTTTTTCTGAAATTATTCTTTAGACTAAAGTGCACAGCTCTTCAGGCGATAGCGAAACATATAGAAAACTATAAATTTTATAAAAGCTCTCTTTCTCCTCTAACTGACTCAAGAAAATGTAGTCAGGCGGATTCATCCCGGAATTCAGGGGAAGCAGCCGAAGGCTTCAAGTCCAATTATCCAAATTTTTCTCTTTCGTCGTAATTATCGACGAAATTTAACTTCTTTCGGACTTTGTTTTTAGACTGAACTGTAGTATGAAGGATTATCTCTCGACTGATTAAGGACTCCATAGAAAACTGATCCTCAGAAGTCAAGTAATGATCGTTTCTAAAAGCTTGGGTAAATTAAAATTTTAAGCAAAATTGTCTGCGCGCCAATAATTATGACACCCTGCTGTACAACAGTTAAATAAACTGCGCCATGGTAACCACGGCGCCCACGTGCCGAATCGCGCGACGGTATGATCGCGGTGCGCCTTACGCTGAACTAGATTTGCTGGTTGATAACTCTACACTAATCTCCCATAATCTCCCCCGAATTACTACCAGTACCACATATCTCTCTTTCTTGTGGTCACTCATGACTCATGTGATCTAAAAGATGAACTGCTCAGGTGTTCTGGAGTCTGGACAAGAAACTAGCTCGGAGGAAACATTTCATTTCTGTTAATTATTAAACCAGTCAATTTTAATTTATATCTGGAATATAAGTTAATTGTTATTGTACTAAGTGATATTGAAGCAGCATTATGATAGTTCCCCATGAATTATTATAATCCTCACCAACAATCCTTGCTGGTATATTGAATAACGTGCTGGCTTGTTTCGCCACATTACGCGATGTCAAGGTGATAGGGGATCAAGTATCACACCATCAATCAGATACCTTCTAACACGTGATCATCTCCTCGTCACCGGATCAAAATATCTGATATTGATCACATCTCGTTATCGGGGTGATACATGATCAGTAAGATTCTCCGATAACCAATCTGAGGTATTGACGAAATGGTAGAAGTATATAAACCATCCACGAATCCGAACCTACATCAGTTCTTTACATCTTCTACAATCTACATAACTATTAACCCAAATAAGATCTCCTACGTGATACCAACATGTCTACATTTGATGATCTCTACACCCTTTCCCGCCAACTTGGATCCGGTGGATTCGGATGTGTCTACAAATGCTATGAACAGAAAACTGGAGATGCTTACGCTGTTAAATTCTTCTCAGACATGCCCGTTAGTAGAAAGACCTACTCTTCCTCCGACAAGATGAAGATCCCAGACGAGATAATCCTGTGGAGAAACCTTCGACACAAGAACGTTATAAGATACGTCCGCCACTTCTTTGAGCGAGGAACTTGGATTGTGGTAATGGAGCACTGTTCTGGTTACAAGGACCTCTTCTCCTACGTCAACAAAAGAGAATCCCCCATGTCGGAGAGTACAGCTGCTTCCATCATCTCCCAGACCCTCGATGCTGTGATGTACTGCCGTTCCAAGAAGATCGACCACAGAGACATCAAAGACGAAAACCTTCTCTACAACCCAAAGACGAAGCATGTCATGCTGATAGACTTTGGTTCATCCTCCCTTGTCTCCTCAACCTACAACCGTCTCCAAGGAACCGATGTCTACCATCCACCTGAACTGTTTTTGGACGGCAGCTTCAAGTCTACCGATGGAGTTATTTGGGCGGTGGGATCCCTTGCTTACATCCTGCTAAACGGAGATTGCCCTTACCAAACTCTGGATGACCTGAAAGGCGATGTTCCAATAGTCTGGATGAACGAGAAGTCTTCTTCCTCTGCTATAAGATTCGTTAGACGTTGCCTCAGAAGAAGACCTGTGGACAGAGAGTCTTTGAGCTTGCTGAGGAAATCTGCTTGGTTGAAGAATTTTAAAAACTAACATATTGATTTGAATGTATTGTCCAAATATTTTTGTAAATTTGTTAATTCTTTTCATAATCCCTCGATCCAAATCATTTAGAAGTCTTTTGTATCAAAAGTTAGCAATATTGGGCCAGCTCATGGTCAATTACTCCAAAATAAGGCATCTATGACATTATGTTGCTCCATAAATTGTACATATATTAGTATTACATGGACATTATAGTTAATTTAAGCCTACCTAAAAGTATCTACTATGTTTAGAAGCTGAGATAACTATATATGAATAATGAATATAAGTATAACACAAATTGGCGTGGCCAAATATCATTCATAACTGATCAAACTACAAGCTTACAAGTGTTTGCTTTAAAAAAACAGTATGTACTGTTATACTTATTCATTATTCATATATAGTTATCTCAGCTTCTAGATCTAAGCTTTAACTCAACCTGACATCAAAAAATCCGTTTAATCTTATGTTTAGCCAGTAAAGTCTTATCAGATGTAATTAAATAATTGAATAATAATATGGCAACAGCTAAAATGTATTAATTAATCATGAATGTGTATGAAATTAAAAGTAGGTTGACGCTTATAAACAAAAGTTAAAATGAAATTGTGTGATTATATGTTACAAGTTTATTACTAGTTCATCATTTAGAACGGTGTTTAGTACCGCCCTCCGCGTGTCCTACGCCCTCATGTCCTCCGCTTTTGTGTCTACCACATTCAGCATTGTGCCTGGTTCCCGATCTGCTTCAACGTCCTCGTGTGGAATGTTATTTAGCTTAGCTTTTCACTCTACTTGCTACTGTCAACTGGGAAATGGCTCGTTAGTTTCAACGAATAAACAGATAATTTCCAAGTTTTTTCATGAAATATTGGGAGTTTTAAAATAAAATTTAACGTACATAGTGGTTAACGTTTTTCGTGCAGCGAAATTTTCTGACTATATTCAGTAATTTATTTTTGAATTTAATTTTGTTATTAAATTGGAGCATTTCAAGGAGATGCACTATCAGGTAATCTATTTACTGTTGTTGAAGCCGCTGCACTTATTCACCTCAGATCTGTACTCTCCCAAGTATCATCAACACCTTACCCAGTGAATCATCCAATCCCTAATCCTCCTATCTCAGAAGAATTCATGCCACTCGAAACAGGATACTCTGATGATATTGACTTTAATAACACTGAACTTGCTCCACTCAAAGAAATGCTTCCTATCGCTAAAGATATATTCCAGCAGTGGGACCTTCATATCAATTCTTCCAAGACTGAATTTGTCCATTTTTATTTAGCAGATCCTAAACCCACTGTTAAACGCAAGGTGATTGTTGGAAAAGTGTATAGAGGTGATGAAGAGTGGCGCTCTAACAAAACTTTAGGATCGTTGATGTGCACTGTTAAGGATATCAAGAATCGAATATTCCTTGGTAATGTCGCCTTTAGTAAATTTCAGAAAGTTTGGATGAAGAGCAAGATTTCAGTCCAAAGGAAGATCAAAATCTACGAGGCACAAGTAGTCTCTATTCTACTCTACAACTGCAACTCCTGGGCTGCACCACTAGCTTCGTTGAATGAACTTGATATTGCTCATCGCAAACACCTCCGAAGAATCCTCAACATCAGATGGCCTACTCGGGTTATTTCTAATGAGGCACTCTATGCTCGTTGTTATGTCACTCCCTTGTCTGTGAGAGTCTCTAAGTTTCGATGGAGAATGTTAAGACATATCTTAAGAGGACAGGAAGACTCACCAGCATACACCTCTATGTTATTTGCTATAAATTCTGATATTTTTATGGAAGGGAGACGGGGTAGACCATGTTTAAACTTATTAGATGTTATTAGAAAAGACTTGACTAGTAGAAATCTTGATATTAGACTTAAAAATTTGACTGATTTCGAAGACCTTAGATTTTTAGCTTTAGATAGGGAGGAGTGGAAGAAGTTAGAAGATGGTTGATGTTTTTGTTTTCTTTTTTATGCGTTTTGATATCTATAAGGTGCCTAGGATGCTCTTTTAAAGAGATATTTCGTACTTTGAAAGATTTACTACTACTACTATTAAATTGTCATATTTATAATATATATAAGTAAAAACTTAAAAAGCGATTTGACGAAGTGAAACACAATTTATGAGCTCATTTCATTTTGAAATTTCATTACATGAAAATTATCTTCATAGGAGGATCTTGGCGGACTGCACTTCAGTGTAAACCCTTTTGTTAGTTGATGTAATGACCTGGTTCTTTCCTCTTGTACTGAAATAATCCTTCTGTTGGTAAATCTCCCACATTCCTGAGTCCTGACTGAAGCAGCTTTACTCTCAAACCCTAGATCAGCGAAGTCTGGTGTGGATCCGTACAGGACTCTTTTTGTCCTGCTGCGTCGTATATCGTGATTTGTCCCTTTCTAAAGCACTTCTTGCTGCCTGTTGCCTTGGGGTCGAAGCAGCATCCCTTATATTTGCAGCTACTCTCTGATAGTATGTTGTTGTCGAGGCACAGAGTACGATCTGCAGGGTGAGTGTCCGAACACACATGTCACATCCCAGTAAGGGTTAGATCTCCAGTCAATGTGCATTCTATAAGCAGACACAAAGCACAGGTTACGTTGACCGCGGTCGAAGAAAGCATATCCTCCTCGTCCCCATAAGTATCCCCAACTGTTTTTTATCTTGAAGAAATCAACCCCGTACCCAGAGACTACAACTGCATGGTTAGGGCTGGGGTCCACGCCAAATCCCGTCCCGTGGTAAAGACCAAGTAGAATTGGAACTGCAAGGAAGCATAGATATAGACCACTGCAGGACCTTCTTCAAGCAGAGCCTTGACCAGGCCGTTATCAATTCTATTGTCAACCGTGCGAGCGTATGGTTTTGCTCTGGTGAGAGCATTAGGGAGAGGGTTCTTCAGGTCATCACACACTCCATCCCTTCCCTCGTATTCCTTGTCTGCTCTGAGGGGAAGGTAACCATGATTGGAGGATTTAGTCACAGGACTGTTTTTTCCAGCCCAATTAATAGCAGTATCACTCCACCCTCCACGGCACCCGTCCATGTGTTTGAAAGTGCTGTCCAGCAGGGTCTGCTCCGACAGTTCCTTGTACTCGCCGTGCTCTATGATGTGGAGCCCCTCCATCGCAGCTACTGCAGCAAAACTCCAGAAACTTCCACACCCACCTTGGTTCCTGACAGGGGTCATCTCCCACAGCTTCTCAACTTTGTAGTCACTAGTCACCCAGGTTCCAGGTCCACACTCTCTTCAGCCTGTGTTCAGTTGAAGTCCAAGGTAGCTCTTCTTTTCCTTATCACCCAGAATCCAGATCTGTGAGTAAGAATACTTGCTATTTATTCACCCGTGAACAGAATTAGAGGCAGCTGTCCTGGATAGAAGTGCGCACTCAATTTTTAATTTAATCATTTCTAATTACTAGGGTTTATAAACCTATGTTTCTTAGAAGCTTGAAATTTTATGGGGAGCGTCTTGTTTGACAAGTTGTTGTAAACTAATTCACAGTTTATGCTTTAGAAATAACACTTTTAGTGGCGTCTATTGAATGAATATGACAATAGAGAGGCCTCAAGTGTATTTAATTTTACAACATATGCTGTCCTAACATGAAATAGATTAACACTGTTATCTTGATATAGTCGAGTCAAAGCTGCAAATGCAAACTTTTTGCTGTTCAGTCCAGAAAATACGGAATTAATATTGAAATATGTAACCAGCGACCGTATACCTTATTGGACGTTATTTGACCGGATATTGAGTGAACGGAAATACTTTTGAACGGACAATACACATTAAAATGAACGTTAGGGCCTCCAGAATCAAATTAATGTCCGTTGAAAGGTAAGGTACATTGTCTACCGTACACTTATGTTATTGAGCCATAACTGACATTAGCTTATAATGTAATATTAAAAGTACCTATTGCTCTTGTGTTAAAATAAAGCATAATGTGCTGCTAACAATAATTATTTTTGCGTGCTGTGACGTGATGTCAAGGTGGAAGGGGATAATATATCTCGTTCTTAACACACGATCACCCTCCGGTCATGCTATTGATCAGATGTTGTAAGTATGCACTATGCAGCGTGTTATGCGAGACGTCTGAACTGTCGAATATCTGCAATATGTTATTGATCACATGTCACCTCGTCATTGGGTGGAAATATCTGATATTGATCACATGTCACCTCGTCATCGGGGTGATACATGATACTCCCATACCCAATCCGAGGTATTGACAAGCTGATGGCGCTATATAACCCACCCAGAAATACGACTCTCCATCAGTTATTTTCTTCATCTACATCAACTAACATCATATCTCTTACTTTTTATCAACATGTCCACATTTGGTGATCTCTACACCATTTCTCGCAAGCTTGGCTCCGGTGGATATGGAACTGTCTTCAAGTGCTACGAGCGCAAAACTGGAGATCCATATGCTGTTAAGTTCTTCACTGATGACCGGGTGAAAAGAAAGACCTACTCTTCCTCCGACAAGATGAACATCCCAGACGAGATAACCCTTTGGAGAAACCTTCGACACAAGAACGTTATAAGATACGTCCGTCACTTCTTCGAGGGAGGAAATTGGATTGTGGTAATGGAACATTGTTCTGGTTACAAGGACCTCTTCTCCTACGTCAACAACAGACCCTCCCCCATGTCGGAGAGTACAGCTGCTTCCATCATCTCCCAGACCCTCGATGCTGTGATGTACTGCCGTTCCAAGAAGATCGACCACAGAGACATCAAAGACGAAAACCTTCTCTACAACCCAAAGACGAAGCATGTCATGCTGATAGACTTTGGTTCATCCTCCCTTGTCTCCTCCACCTACAACCGTCTACAAGGAACCGATGTCTACCATCCACCTGAACTGTTTTTGGACGGCAGCTTCAAGTCTACCGATGGAGTTATTTGGGCGGTGGGATCCCTTGCTTACATCCTGCTAAACGGTGATTGCCCTTACCAAACTCTGGATGACCTGAAAGGCGATGTTCCAATAGTCTGGATGAACGAGAAGTCTTCTTCCTCTGCTATAAGATTCGTTAGACGTTGCCTCAGAAGAAGACCTGTGGACAGAGAGTCTTTGAGCTTGCTGAGGAAATCTGCTTGGTTGAAGAATTTTAAAAACTAGCATAATGATTTGAATGTATTACCCAAATATTTTTGTAAATTTGATTTGTAAATTCTTTTCATAATCCCTCGATCCAAATCATTTAGAAGTCTTTTGTATCAAAAGTTAGCAATATTGGGCCAGCTCATGGTCAAATCAGGTCAATTACTCCAAAATAGGGCATCTTTGACATTATGTTGCTCCATAAATTGTACATACTAATATTAGTATTACATGGACATAGGACATTATAGTTAATTTAAGCCTACCTAAAAGTATCTACTATGTTCAGAAGCTGAGATAACTATATATGAATAATGAATATAAGTATAACTGATAACACAAATTGGCGTGGCCAAATATCGTTCATAACTGATCAAACTACAAGTGTTTGCTTTAGTAAAACAGTATGTACTGTTATACTTATTCATTATTCATATATAGTTGACTGTTTTTTCAGCCCAATTAACAGCAGTATCACTCCACCCTCCACGGCATGCCCGTCCATGTGTTGAAAGTACAGTCCAGCAGGGTCTGCTCCGACAGTTTCTTGTACTCGCTGCGCTCCTTGATGTGGAGCCCCTCCATCACAGCTACTGCAGCAAAACTCCAGCAACTTCCACACCCACCTTGGTTTCTGACAGGGGTCATCTCCCACAGCTTCTCAACTGGGTAGTCACCCAGGTCCACACTCTCTTTAGCCTGTAGAGGAGGAGCAGGTTCGGCTGTATGGTTCAGTTGAAGTCCAAGGTAGCTCTTCTTTTCCTCATCACCCAGATCTGCGAACTGTGTTAAGTCTGCCACCCACTTTTCCTGGCTGGAGTTGATGAGTTCTATCTCAGCAGCGGACTTCTGGAAGTTTCTGTATCGATCAATTTCGCTTCTCAGACCGGCGTAGTTCTTGTTATACTTTGCTTTCCAGTCTTTGAAGGTACTTCTTAGGTCTTTCTCAGCGGAGGAGCAGTGTGCTGCTACACAGATGAGGACAACTGTAGCTTTAATCATCATTCATCGTAGTTCGATTAAAGTATCACGGTAAAACGTGGATACCTCTATGAGTAGGAATACTTGCTATTTATTCACCCGTGAACAAAATTAGTACCAGCTGTCCTGGATAGAAATGCGTTAATCTCACTCAGTTTTTAACTCAATCATTTCGAATAACTAAGGTTTATGAACCTATTTTTCATAGAAGCTTGAAATTTTATGGGGAGCGTCTTGTTTGACAAGTTGTTTTAAACTAATTCACAGTTTATGCTTTAAAAATAACACTTTTATTGGCGTCTATTGAATGAATATGACAATAGAGAGGCCTCAAGTGTATTCAATTTTACAACATATGCTGTCTTAACATGAAATATATTAACACTGTTATCTTGATATAGTCGAGTCAAAGCTGCAAATGCAAACGTTTTGCTGTTCACTCCAGAAAATACAGAATTAATATTGAAATATGTTACCAGCGACCGTATACCTAATCGGACGTTATTTGACCGGATATTGAGTAAACGGATATAATTTTGAACGGACAGTAAAATGAACGCGCGCTAGGGCCTCCAGAATCAAATTAATGTCCGTTGAAAGGTAAGGTACATTGTCTACCGTACACTTATGTTATTGAGCCATAACTGACATTAGCTTATAATGTAATATTAAAAGTACCCATTGCTCTTGAGTTAAAATAAAGCATAACGTGCTGCTAACAAGGTGAAAGGGATAATATATCTCGTTCCTAACACACGATCACCCTCCGGTCATGCTATTGATCAGATGTTGTAAGTATGCAGCGTGTTAATGTTATGCGAGACGTCTAAACTGTCGAATATCTGCAATATGTTATTGATCACATGTCACCTCGTCATTGGGTGGAAATATCTGATATTGATCACATGTCACCTCGTCATCGGGGTGATACATGATACTCCCATACCCAATCCGAGGTATTGACAAGCTGATGGCGCTATATAACCCACCCAGAGATACGACTCTCCATCAGTTATTTTCTACATCTACATCAACTAACATCATATCTCTTACTTTTTATCAACATGACCACATTTGGTGATCTCTACACCATTTATCGCAAGCTTGGCTCCGGTGGATATGGAACTGTCTTCAAGTGCTACGAGCGCAAAACTGGAGATCCATATGCTGTTAAGTTCTTCACTGATGACCGGGTGAAAAGAAAGACCTACTCTTCCTCCGACAAGATGAATATTCCAGACGAGATAACCCTTTGGAGAAACCTTCGACACAAGAACGTCATCAGATACGTCCGTCACTTCTTCGAGGGAGGAAATTGGATTGTGGTAATGGAACATTGTTCTGGTTACAAGGACCTCTTCTCCTACGTCAACAACAGACCCTTCCCCATTTCGGAGAGTACAGCTGCTTCCATCATCTCCAGACCCTCGATGCTGTGATGTACTGCCGCTCCAAGAAGATCGACCACAGAGACATCAAGGACGAAAACATCCTCTACAACCCCAACACGAAGCATGTCATGCTGATAGACTTTGGTTCCGCCTCCTTCGTCTCCTCCTCCTACAATCGTCTCCAGGGAACTGATATCTACCATCCTCCTGAATTCTTCTCGGACGGAAGCTTCAAGTCTACTGATGGAATTGTTTGGGCCCTGGGTTCTTTTGCTTACATTCTGCTTAACGGAGATTGTCCCTACGATACTCTAGAGGACTTGAAGGATGACGTGCCGATAGTCTGGACGAACGAGAAGTCCTCTTCGTCTGCTATAAGATTTGTGAGACGTGCTCTGAGAAGACGACCTGTTGATAGAGAACCATTGAACCTGCTGAGGAAATCTGCCTGGCTGAATAACTTTAAGAAATAAGATATTGATTTGTATGTAATAAGATATTGATTGCATGTAATATACTTTGTAAATAATTTTATTAATTTATTTCATAATTCATCAATACAAATTTGCGTTATTTCATTTTTAACTTTAAGACGAAAAGATCGTTAATAAACTAAATATACCATCTCTGGTCATGTGTTAGGAATTATAGTCCAGTAAATGTATATTACATTTTCGCCCTTTTGACTCACGAGGTGAATAATAGGAAAGGTCTACTCCAGAATAATTTATTGTTATAATATCAAATACTTATCTCAATTCTAGATATTCATATCTTAAGAAATGATGACTACCTCTTAAAACACAATTGGCACAGTATTGCTGCTGACTGAGTGGCAGGGTACGGGTATTTGTTAGAATATTAAAAGGCAAGATTCCTACCTATTTTATTAAGTTTCTTACTGGAACCAACTTGTTTGGTTACAGAAACTTCGGCCGAAGTTAGTTTACAAGAGATCGTTCACAATATAAGATGCTGTTTTTTAGCTGTGCAATACCTCGTCAGGCCATTACCCCATAACTATTAACTATGGATCCTTTTTATCGATAGCACGCGTTATCATAATATATATTTCAAAATCTTTAATGGTTCTTATACTGATAAATGAGGTAAGTGAGATTCACAGTTAATAACTTCTCGCATAAGTTTTCATATTGATATACATTGTCTGGTGTAAACTTATTTTATTGAGCCATAAATGACCTTCAATTGTGTTGCATTCTAACAGTACCTGTTGTTCATGTATCACTATCAATACATGTAATTGTATCAATTCAGCCGTGTTACGAGCTAGACGTGATGTCAAGGTGATAGGGGATCAATTATCGTGTCAGATTATTAAAAAGAAAGATAGGCAATAGTGGATCAGATACATTGTGCAGAAATCGTGATCCTGCTCTGGTCATGGCCATTGATCAGATGTTGAAAGTGTGCGTGTTATATGAGTCTCACGTAAACGTCTCACATAATTTGAGACGTCCAACTCGTACAGTCTAATATCTGCAGCATGTTATTGATCGGGTAGAATATCTGATATCGGGGTAGAATATCTGATATCGATCACATGACATCCGGGTGATACATGATCGCTTAGATACTCCAATAACCGATACGGATATGACGTATCGACAAGCTGATGACGGTATATAAGCCACCAGGAAATACGACCCTTCATCAGTTATTTCCTTCAACAACTATCCACTGAAATCAGATCTCCTTTACTACCTTTTATCAACATGCCTACATTTGATGATCTCTACACCCTTTCTCGCAAGCTTGGCTCCGGTGGATATGGAACTGTCTTCAAGTGCTACGAGCGCAGAACTGGGGATCCCTATGCCGTTAAGTTCTTCACAGATGACCGGGTGAAAAGAAAGACCTACTCTTCCTCCGACAAGATGAACATCCCAGACGAGATAACCCTTTGGAGAAACCTTCGACACAAGAACGTCATCAGATACGTCCGTCACTTCTTTGAGCGAGGAAATTGGATTGTGGTAATGGAACATTGTTCTGGTTACAAGGACCTCTTCTCCTACGTCAACAACAGACCCTCCCCCATGTCGGAGAGTACAGCTGCTTCATCATCTCCCAGACCCTCGATGCTGTGATGTACTGCCGCTCCAATAAGATAGACCACAGAGACATCAAGGACGAAAACATCCTCTACAACCCTAACACGAAGCATGTCATGCTGATAGACTTTGGTTCCGCCTCCTTCGTCTCCTCCACCTACAATCGTCTCCAGGGAACTGATATCTACCATCCTCCTGAATTCTTCTCGGACGGCAGCTTCAAGTCAACTGATGGAGTTGTTTGGGCTCTTGGTTCCCTTGCTTACATCCTACTGAACTCAATTTCTCCCTACCCGAATCTGGATGACTTGAAAGATGATGTTCCGGTAATCTGGATGAACGAAAAGTCCTCTTCGTCTGCTAGAAGATTCGTGAGACGAGCTCTGAGAAGACGACCTGTGGATAGAGAATCATTGAGCCTGCTGTGGAAATCTGCTTGGTTGAAGAATTTTAATAAATAAGATGTTAAATTGAGTAATATATTTTGTAAATAGATGAATTTATTAAACCATGGTTAATCATGTTTATAATTTATTATATCAACAATCGTCGCTAATTGTTAAAGCCAAATAATACGCAGCCGATATTTGGTTTTGAGACAATGATCATTGAAAATAACTTAAATATTATTTAAACAATAACATCTGAATCTGTAAGATATTACATGTAAATACATTTGTAAATTTATAACTTGTAAAAATCTGTGATTTGGGAATATTCTTTGTTCTGTAACGAATACTACCGTATAACCACAATAAGATTATCAGTTAAGTTCCAGCGGACTGCGGTATAGTCGTTTGTAGAATAAAAACTTATTTCAACGCAACACTTTATGCTTAATTTTTCTATAAAAATCATCTCATATATAAATCAGTGGATGGTTGGTTCAGTTATTCTCTCGCTGGTAAATTTGTCGGTTCCTTTGGTCCTTCCTTAAATCATTATTGTGACGTAATCAAAATTATGGTTTATAAAAATCGCAACCATTGACATTGTTTGCTAGAAGAGGTTTTAGTTACGAATCATTGTGTTACTTTGTTACTATGAGTTATTAAAGTATTAAGCTCCTGTTTGGAAAATAACTAGGTCGGCCCTTCTGCTGTTGGGTCTCGGTATAATTCTCGTTGTCAACATCAAATAACCATATCCCTGCAATTTGCATCCGTACTCGTAATTATAACGTTGATATTTAAAGTGAACTACTATGATACCAAGTCAATGACTGGACTGTGATTACCGATTAGATTGCTGTAAACCTTAGTGGTTCACATGGTTCACATGGTTGACAGACACGTTCCAAACGTGCGTGCTGCAGGCCGGGCAATCACTCGTCATCTAAACATCTCTATTGTCACTGATTTCGGGTATTCGTTACAGTTGACACTAACAGTGACAATTTACAATGCTCTTTTTCACAAACCATTTGATAACGTACGTTGGAATCAGGTTTAGGATTGTTGTGAGATACTGAAAATGTCCGAATCAGATACAGATTCGGATTTGAGAACCACGTATAGTCTCCTGTTTACGAATTTCCTTATTTCATATCCTTTTAATAAGAGTTAAACTGCTGGTGGGCCCATAAGTCAGTATGCAAACGTTTGTGCTTTTAAAATAGCCATGTTTGAGAATTGCAGTTATAACTTAGCACATGGCATACTGTAAGTGTAATTACACATTCTGTCGCAAAACATTTGAACATTCGACTTTTGGAGTAATTCTTCGAGAAATAGTCCTTCGGTAAAATATGTGTTACATTTTTTTCTTATGGCTATGCTATTTTTAAAGTTTCCGATCATCCAACTGTTTAATGAAGAATTCCATGGTCATCCTCTCCTTACCTTGTTTGGATATCCGTCAACAGTCCACCTTCTCAAACGTTAAATAACCATGCCTCAGCAGTTTCATTTAATCACGCGGAATTATAACGTCGATACTTAAAGTGAACTACTATGATACCAAGTCAATGACTGGACTGTGATTACCGATTAGATTGCTGTAAACTTTAGTGGTTCACATGGTGCTGCACCGGTCAGGAATTTATTGCGGTCGTGTCGGTCATCTAAAGATTTTTATTGGCACTCCAAGTTCAACTTGTATGAGTGTTATTACTTGTTACTGTTAGCTACAAATACTTGAAGTATTCACAGCTAACAGTAACAAGTAACAACGCTTTCGTAACCATATTCAATAACATTTGTTAGATTCGATTATATGATTAATCAAATTTAAAAACATTAAAAATGATTAGATTTGGATCTGGATTAGACAAAAGCGTAGTCTCCAAATATTCCCATGATTGCAGACCCTGTAATTACACGGGAGTTAAACTTCGTACTTTACTTTTAGTATCACAAGCGGTCGTACTGTCCAAAACTATGTTTAATTCAACTACGATCTGCATTATCACACAGCTCGTTATTATATCACACACTGTTTAATGTTTGTACGAGTGTGAACGTGTTTAATCACTCACATAACCATTACTATTATACAAAGAAGAATAGCATGCAATTGCTTCTTTATCAGGCCGTCTGCTATCTGATCTATAGAAAGTTCTAGTGGGACAACTTGTCCCACTGACTGTACCTCTGATTTGAGGAGAGAGACCTTAATTCTTATTCCGTTTTCATAACAACGACTGTTGGCAAACATTCCGGCTACCTCGTGACACATGTTTTTGTGGCTCTCGTTTTATAAACACAGTTTTAAAGGTCGCGCTCTCTCTGATCAAGGCAGTAAATGTTTTGGTTATAATTCGAGTGTGCTTGTCGTAACATATTATCGTAACATATTATTATAGCTGTAGTGCAGCTGTTAGATTTGCTGTGAGATGATTCTTGTTGAGATTTTGTGGGTCGTTGTTGTTGATTTTATTATTGGTTTGTGGTATTGGTTCTATGTTGCTGTGACAAACTTAAGTTTGTTAGCATGCAAGTGCTGGTTATCGGCGCGGTGTTGAGGTAGCGAATATAGGTTTAAAGTGCTGCTGGATAAGATGCATAATGGCTTTGCAAAGTTGTGACGTTAACTTATCATTGTTGGCATTATTTTGGACTTATTCATTGTTACAGCATACAGAAGATTCCTTTAAATTAAATGCGGAATAAACATTTTTACTTTTATTATTCTCAAACAGTCCATCTTCATTATAATATGTTCCAGGTAATGAGTAAGGCCAAGAACGTAGCAACAGACTTTTCCAAAGCAGAAAACGAAAACTCGGTTGATGTTCTTATCAGAAGATTCAAGGCGGGAGATCCAGAGGTCATGTATGAGAAAATTCAGGTATCTCCCGATCATCATGCTAAATCTTTACAGTTCCATCTTCTTTTTTTCTGAGTCGATCCACGGCTCAAAGCTTTGGGATCAAGCCCGTTTTCATTTAATTCCATTGTAAATTATTTACAAAAAATACTTTCTCAACAATTATTCTGACAGAGTTCAGCCGAGCTAGCAGTCGACTCTCTAGACGGAGACCCCCGAATAGCAAAATACAGCATCTCCAACCTTCCTTCACCACACTGGTCTGTTGAAGAAAGATTAAAACCTCTCAACCCTTTCTATCAGGACAAAACTAAGGTTAGGATTGAGAATAAGGGTTGTGCCAGTCTTTGTTGGTTATGATATCTAATTTGAAACAAAATTTTAATTTTTTTTAATTTTCAGACTCTCAGTCTCAGTTATGGTATCGGAGTTTGATTTTAATTAATCTATCTCCAACACAACTAAAGTTAGAGTTTATTTTGGTCGCTCCCTTATTTGCAATTTCAGAAGAAAATGTTCATACCAAACATTGAAGCCGAACCAATTAATCCACTCATGGCCAGACAAAGCTCCTCTGAAAAAGCTGCTGCTGAAGCGAAGACACTCAGGGAAACACGTGCTGCCCTTAAAGAGGCGGAGAAGAAGATTCTTATCACAGCTATCAAGAAAAATTCCTCTGTGAGTTCTCAATTTCAACTCAACATCTTTGTAATTTGTATCTAACGGTTATTATAACAATTTATAGTCGTATAATATTCTTGTTAATGATCGTAAATTATAAGATAAAATTCAATTTTGTCATTTGCCTATCGTGTAAGCTTGTTAGGCTTCACCACGAATATGGATATTTAAACTGAAAATTCAGTCATAGCATATCGCATATTGCATATCGCAGACATAGCATATCGCATGATTGCACGATGCACAAGAACAATGTGCTTTACATTAAATATCGCAAATTGATCACTATTTTCTGATTCTAGCACGCGTATGAATGCAATTTAATCCAAATTCTTGTGTCTAAGCTCGCATTATTTTCAGGAGAAAACATTCCGGAAGCACTCATCAAGCATGCCGATTTCGTACAACGAATTTATCGCTACCCAATCCAAGACTTACGTATAATATTGATCACTTAATCATCAGTGAATATAATATTATGATTCGATTTGTTATCAATGAAACGAATTAGCTTTGGGATTTCCAGAACCTCTTGGAGTTACATCAGGCGGTGTAACCAGACCCACACTGATGGATTATACTTATAGCTGGATTATCATCGACTGAACTTCAACCATTGATCTCTATGATAACTGCGTGGTAACACTTTACAATGATAATTCAGCTCTTAACTTTACATAAGAGATTTAGTAAGATTTGTATCAAGTCATTGTAAATCGTCTGTCAATAGAAGAGGAACCGGAAGGAGGCAACCTAAACTGCGAGGTACTCCTACTACTCCATGGCTCTTCAGAAGATCCGGCAGGGATGGTGTTTGGTAGACTGGTATTTTCTGCAACTGATAGCTGCTGCCGGAGTCGTTGTAACTCCAGCTCCATTTGCTGAAAATGGGCATCCTGAGGGGTTGTTTAACTTTACATGTTTAGCTGAAATAACTTTGCTTGTTATTGCAAGCTTGATGGCTAATGGGGCGGCTTTTTAAAGCAGATTATCTCTAAATTTGCTGATTTGTCACATTTTCACGATTTTATCAAAGCATTTTTAAAATGCCTCTGTTTTATTTATTCAATTATGATTGTCAACATCTCTCAAGTTTAGCACATTCTACCAGGAAATTACCTGATAATTCCAAGTAGGACGGCGTTCTGTCCACTCCCGTTTAAGCTCACTCCCCTTCTTATTCGCCTTCTCTCCCACCTTTCGTATGGCTTTGAACACCCTGCCCTCCTTAACAGGCCTCAAGTTCCCATGAGCCGGGGTTCCCTTCTTGGAGCTGTGTTTCAAAGTCATCCCCAAAGTGTTCGAACAGAAATCAGCGAAGAAGGGAGACCAGTAGATTTGGAAACAAGTGCAGTCGAACAGAGGGTATTCGTAATCTTCCTCCTCGTCCACAGGAGGTTGAGGTGCGAGGTAAGGTGGTTCTCTGAGAGGAGTGAGTGGTGGAACACCTGGTCCGGAGAAAGAGCGTGGTGGCATGATATCTGGAGGAGCTGCTTTCAATTCTCCTGATACGATCCGCTCTTCTGAAACAAAACCGTAAATTAATGTCACAATGTAGCAATGCCAGCTCGTAGATACTTGACAAAAAATATAATATTTCTCACTATATTAGCGAGATGCACAAGCTGTAGACGTGGCACTGAATATCGGTGTTCGAGGTTGAACTGTATAAGAATTAAATCTCTCACGATCGTTGAACTCCTCCAGGCCATGGTCGCGATTAGGTGTGGTTTCATCATTACATTAACTTTAAGGGCGCTAGCCCTTTGTGGAGCCAGAAAAGATGTTTTAAAACATTTCAAATGTCTCCCCTTTGATTTGTGGCATGGGAAAACTAACTTTGCCCCGAGGTCATCATTTTAAAGTCTTTTTGATATTTATACATTTCAGATATTATAGGTGCATATAGCGCCCGATGTAATTGCTATGACCAGTTTACTGGTCAACTGGTGTTTCGGTGTCCCTAATTATGTTTACACTCGGTCACTTGTCAAGGCAGGTAAGGTCATTCGGCGAATTTTATTCGAAATAAAATGTTGTATTTGTGTAACATTTTGAAAGTTTATTGATACAAAATTAAAAAAGTAAAATGTCGGTGGTATCCAAAAATAGTTCCCTAGGCTGGTAGCTGACCTGGTAAATTAAGAACGGACTGTCCCTCGGAGGTGCTTCGTCTTAAGAACCCACCACCCCTCCCTCGATGTGATCCCCCTGTCTTTCCCTCTCCAGGATTATGCGAACCTGCCATCCGTTCCCCGGAATCGTGTGATATCTGTGCCCCGTGTTCCTGTTCGATTGTTTCTGATGTTCTTGTCTGGGAACCCCGCAACCCCTGACTTCTTCTGTCCCCCCATGGACTCAAGGCCGGCACTGGTCTGCTGTATTCGGGTTTTCTTCCAGCATCACTTCTTCTATACCCTCCTGTGATTTAAAAAACATTCTTTAGACTTAGTGATTGAACAAAGAGGCCTGAAACAAATGTGCACACTTCATCACACTCAATTTCAAGCTGTATTATTAACAACAGCACTATCTATGATCTTGTTATGACTATTTTACCACAAACCAGAAGTAGAGGAATGAGACATCTAATTCCAATCTCTCACAAGCGCAATCAGAACATTTAAATGCCCTCGGTCGGTCAAAACAAGTCCAAAATAGCTAACGTAAAACATGTACCTGTAAAATAATTGAGTTTTGACATTGAAATTAGCTGATCAATGCTGGAGGACTCCAAGCAAATTGAAACTTTTGGCGGGTCATTACGTCCAATTCGATACAACAGCAATCACGTGCCAAAATAACACCAAGGCCAAGCAAGGGGGCAAACAAAACAGTGCCCACCAAGCTTTGGACAATGAACAATTTACAAGCAGTATAACCATTGTTTAGGTCCGTGGTGGTACCGTTGAATGGGACAATTAGCGTAACTGAATATTTAGCTGTCTAGACTTGAGAGCAATTATTGTTTGTGCGAATTGTTCATTGACTGGGTGCTTTGAAGAACTAAGCAGTGAGGCGGACAACAGCAAGAACTCCTATACCGCAACATCTAATACCATGCTACTTTCACTCGTATTATACCTATGTACTGCACACACGTGCAGTGAAAGTGAAACTACACACAAAGCTGAAGGCTTAGTAAAGCAAAGTAGAGTAAAATTCATATTTAAGTTGAATTTAAAGCGGTTCTGTTTACTGAGTGATTATACTATTGGTGCTGCATACTACTAGTATTTGTAGTAGTATATAAATTCAAATAGGGCTGATTTTAGAAACTAGAAAAATTCATAGGACAATTTTGACGGTAAATTTGTACTTGACGGTTTGTATTTGTATTTGTATTTGTAATTTTGTAATTTTGTAATTTTGTAATTTTGTACTTTATCACGTAACCGCAAATGAGCAATTAATTTAGTACATTATGCGCAAATATTAAAGTTATTTTGTAAATTGTAGTATTACATAGATTCTAGTAACATTAAACACTGAGTATACAATAATTTTATTGTTAGGTTAGCAAGACCAAGAACCACAATATAATAGGAAAGTCTTAAAATGTGCGCATACTAAAAGAAACTTGCACTAGTACTTAATACTTATACTATTACTTAAAGTAGCACCAGTAGAGGGAAACAGCCACCACAGTAAAGGGGCACACGCACACGCACACGCACATGGACGATAAGGTTAAAGCTAACAGGCACTTAGTTAGGAAAGCACTTAGTTTCCCTTGCACCACTAAGTGCACGTTCAACTATAATAAGGGGGAAACCATTATTCCGACTACATCCAACTTGAGATTATCTTTTCGTCATTAAAATTAGTTATTCCGCCCCGGCCCACTGTTAACTGTATGATTATAACAATAAAGTCGACCATAATTATAGCTAGATTAAGGTAGGTTTAGTAATACTATTTCCGATAACAACTAATTGATTAGACCATCCCTAACGGCTAGACGATAGTTTCTTGCTAGCAAATAGACCGCTAAAATTATTAAATCCTATCACCCTGTCTGGTCAACTATTTTAATGTTAGTCGTTGGAATAATAAACTACAACAGGAAAACGTATTGTAATTTATCTTAGTACTAGTAGCCTACTGCAGTTACCTATCATCCTGTCTAGAAAGGGATTTTGCATTATTTATCACAAAAACCTTTCGCCTTGTCAGTTGCCTGGAGACGAATTCTGACTAAGACAACAGACTACTAGTACTATAATGTATAACTACTAAAACATAAACTAATCCTCGTTTTTAACCAGATCTAAATGCTCAATTTGAAATTCCATTTCAAATTGGAGGGAAAGAAAAAAAAACTTCATATTATCACTTGCTAAAAAACGTAAGTTTGATTAAAAGTGTTAATAGTTATCGCAACTCTCTTATTTCTGTGACTAACACTAACTAGAACTGTAACACTATAAGGTCAAAAGCAGAGTGGGGCAGGCTGCGGCTACAAAGAACCTGCAAGCCGTGATCGAAGGCGCAGAAACGCAACTAGTTACTGATCGCTGGATATAGAGAAGGGGTTAATGGCGGCAGAGTGTACACAATATGTGCAGCCAGGTGTACTTTAAAGCTGTACGATAAGGGCATCAGCCCGGCTTAAAGTTAATGCATAATATAAATATTCCTTCAACTTAGCAGCGTTTTCTCATTTTATATGCGCCTATGATACCTATGACTATGATAAACTTGCAATGTTGCTAGTGCTAAGTAATCGGTGATATTGAAACTTTAAGATTAATTGTTGATCTGGTTTGAGTAGTATTAATTTCTAATCCAAAATGCGGTCTTACAGAACATTATCTAGAGGTCTAAAGCTAGCGCTCAGTTGTAAAAGTAGTACTTGACAATTAGGTGATAAAAGCATCTGTAACTGTAAATATAAAGGTGCGTTCTTAGAAAGAATATCTCTTGATCCAAACTCTTCATCCACAACATAGTATGATAGTGAAATCATCAATAAAGAGATGTATGATTAATCGGGTCTCGGGAAGCTAGTTGTATGCTATTTTTGTGCAGTACTTGCAACGAAAAAGTCTTGTATGAAATTGGTCCGCTGTTTAATAGTCGCATATTGATCAATAATGATTGGAAAGAAATTGTTTTTTGACTGTAGCCAAGCCAAATCAGGTTTAAAATATGATGCAAAATCATTGAATACATGGGCCAGGGTGGGATCACAAAGGATTTTTAGTTTTCGACAATCGACAATCAATGATCTTTATCCACGTCATCTCACATTTAGGTAGTTCCCAACAGGGGAAGGCTACATAACAATTTCTATACAATAAGTGCAGTGTTGACAAAAGCTAAGCTAATTAAATATCAATTTTTAATACGAATATGTCTGACAAATTACCCTTCTTCTGCGACAATGAGTTAAACGTTGAATTTATGGTGATCGTCTAATACTCTACAGTCTACAAGAACTGTTAAAGATAAAGGCCAAAAATTAATTGGGGTCGCAAGTCGCGTTAGTATTTTATTTTATAAGGTACAATGTAATTATAAGGTACAACTATTGATACCAACCCGGTTTCAGCACCCTGGAGCTAGTTAGAAACACCAACAATGTGACCTAACTCGCCAGTGACTTGACCAATTGAACTCGAATAAGTTCAAAATATACAGTGGCAGCTGTGTAGGGAGATATATTGATGAAGGAGCGTTTAGCCTGCCTATTTATCTCACATTGCCTGGGACCTGGGATAACCAGGTGCTGCCGTCTAAATAATACCTATTTGTGGAGCCCCTGTGTGACTAATGACTCATACTAATACGGGTCCCATAAGGTCCCCAAATTTTACTTTTTATAAACTTATAAAGGGAATCAGAGTCGTTAGTTAATTATTTGCTAGTATTAGTTTGTTAGGAGTGGGGTAAAGCACCTGTGAGTGTATGCTGTACTTATAAAGTCATGTGCTATGAATTATCTATTATAGTAGATCATCCTGTGAAGATGTTCTTTTGGAGAACTGAGTTAGACAGGTTCAACCTGTCTCTTTCAAATGATATCAATGCATCATAGATAGGACCGGAAAATTAAGAATAACGACAGAAGTGCTCCCGATTTTTAGAGGTTTTCTCGTGATAGTACTCCAGTAGTATGCTACTTAGTAAAACATCTGTACTTGTGAGCACTGGTTGATGAGGCTAAAGCATAAGTTTCATACATTACTATTCAAATTATTATCAGCTCGTATATCAGTGGAATCAACCAGGTTCCAACATACTGTTTAGGACAAAAATATAGTTTCGAGGGAAAGGACTTATTTGGTCACTATTTAATTACTTGTTCATGTTTTATCAGTGATCTTCACACCTTAATTGTTGATCAACTTTTGATTGTGTAATGCATACTTATGACTTATTGACGATTTGAGTCGTTGTAACTTCTATAAAATTATCTTTCTTATTTGGGATACAAATTTAAACAGCAAAATGATCATCAAATCGTTAAAGAAATCAAAACAGCACATAAAAATGTAAAGTTAACACCACCTAGTCTACGCGATTTAACGATCATCCTCACTCAATCAGGAGTTCATATGCATCAATCTATGACTAACATCGCGACGATACACACAGATCACGGGACGCAAAGTTACGAAATAACCACCGTTTAACACTTTGGTGGGGCCCGAAAGTACAATGAAATGAAAGAAATCAGTGAGGGGGTATGAAGATATCATGCATATGTCATGGATTCTAGAGACCCTTTGCTTACTAACCAGTAACCACCCAGTCGACCAATCTATTATATAGAAGTAGTATTGGAATGTCTATAGAGCAGCGAAAAGTTTAACATTTCCAAAGCATGCACTGAAAATTGCCAGAAAAATTAAACCCCTCCTTTCTTCTATCAAATATCAAACTCTAACAATCGAAAGTTAAAAGTTAAAATCCTCAAAGATCAGTAAAACAGTGTCCCACAGTGTCCCTACTCCTCCTCCCCTGGTCCCTCCTGTAGACGAGCTCTAAGTCCTGTAGCGTGCTGGAAACTTGTTCTACACATAGGACAGGTAGATTTACCGCTTGTACTGAACCATTTGTAGAGACAGGCACTGTGGAACTTCTTCTTGCACGTCTTGCAGCATGGTTTTGGGAGCGCTTTCTTTGGACCTTGGACCTGGAGACAACAATTTTAGATAAAGAGAAGTATTTATGAACAGTTACGTTTAACTAATGAATGATATAAACCGTCACCTTAAACCGCGAAAGTAGACTAATAACAGATAAAAAAGCAAACTGGTATATCACAGAATGACTCACCACAGAGAAGCATATCATACAGCTTTCTAACCCTTCAAACTGTCTGTCCATGTTCTTTCTCCAATGTTCCAGCGCGTCAACAATCGAGGAGTTTTGGTTTTGGAACATGCTAGTCATTTGAAGCATCCAGGACCTCCATGTACCCACCGGTACGCCTACTTGTCGCTCACAGCTTACAGTAGGTGGTGAGAGTGGGTGACTGAAATGAAGATCAGTCAGTGACAGAATTATCGACAGAAACTAATCATTTGTAAAATTGGAAGAAGTTGTTTTATCAGCTGAGCTTTAAAGAAATTCATAAAGACCACTTATATACAGTCTCACTTACTTGGGAGCAATGAAGATAATAAGGTCCGCAGTAATGTCATCCATCGTGTACGTGGCTACTACCTCTCTAACAACCGGTCTTGGTTTGATCTGAAAAAAAAATTGAACGGTTTAAACTTAGCCGGCGGTATGCTGATTGATAATACTGTAATAGCTAATTACTTAAATTACATGGAATTATCATGCATGACATAATTCGCTAATTTAGTAAAGCGTTGCGTAACATTCACAAGCTAGAAAAGCGTGCCGCCGCTTTCTGGCAAATCGAAGCTGCGCGCAAAAGAAATGTGCGTTTTTGAATGCTGACAAGTATTTAAAAATGCATTCGGTTTCGCGGGTGACAAAAAGTAACTTTTACTTTTACTTTTAAGATGACTTTTACTACATTGTAGTGTGTACCATAATTCTCGAACTTACCACAAGAGTTCCGTCATCAGAATCCATCCGCACGTTCGTTTCTGACTTAATCAATGTAGGAGACACAAACGCACAAACATATTTCTCGACGGAAATCGTCAACTCTTTTCCGAGTTTCTTCCACCAATTCCTCAGCAAGGCAGGGAACACCTCAGCAATCCCCATAAAACAAGAACTAGCGAGTTGGTGAGACTCAAAACTAGTACATTTAGCTATATCATCCATTGGCACTATCTCGTACTTCTTTGACGAAAACTTGATCAAGTATACAATGTTATCGAGGAATTCGGTCAGGATCTGCTTGCTTCTCAGGAATTCAACATGTTCTCGGAGCACATCCGATGGTTGCCCAGACTCGCTAATCAACAGCAATGTCCATATATGGGCTGACTTGACCAGTCTGTTCTCGTACTCAGCTTCCGATTCAAAGTTTACTAAATCTATTTTCGAGAGAGCTTCAAGGAAGATTACTGGAGGAGAAGCAAACTCGGCCATCTCTTCGTCCACAACTACGCTGTTATCTGGTTTTGCAGGGAAGAGGTTCTGGCAGTGGAGTAAAAGGTAGAATAAGGACGTTTGTGTTTCGTATGGTAGTGTATTATAACAACTCATGACATAATCAAAACATTCATCAAATGTGATACCTTCATTCTTATTAAGAGCTGATCTCATAAAGCTTTTAACAGAGGCAGGTGGTGCCAGTAGGATAACCGGTGAAAGGTACGAGGCAGTTTCTGGTGAAGACAAGGATAATATCTTGTCGTGTAAAACAAGAGCTAAATCCTGAATTCCAGGCTCATAGAAAGCATCCCAATCCTCAATTATACCCTGGAATTTCTCCAGCTTTTCAACTTTCAAACAATCACGTGAAGTTTTATATAACTCGGTAAAGGACACCAGTGAAGCAGTGAGATGGTATTTTTCTTGGCTGGTGGGAGAATCTGATAAAATATCCAGAGTGGCTTGTAACGTGGCTGCAGTGGAGTTTAGCACAAATTGGATATCTTCCTCCGCAGTTGAAGACGACTGGAAAAGGATGGGTAGAAATATTGAAAAGATGCGAGCTGTCATTTGGTGGTCAATGTTCTCTGCTTCAAAGCAGGACACTGTTAGAAACTCAAATATTTCCTCGTTATTTGGGGTTTTTGAAGCTGTAAAATTCAGGTAACACAGACGTTCCTTGACGGTTAACTCAGCGTCTTTCTTTTGATCAATAAGCTTCTTCAACAAGTTGTCCTCAAAAGCAACTGCGAGGCTAATTAACGATTCTAAAGACATCTTTTCTAACCCTTCAATCTTGCTCCAGTCTATTTTAAAACCATGGTTGACCAAATCATTGACTGCATAAATGACAAACATATTACTTTTGCGAACAAGTTCGTTCAACACTCCATAACAAAGCTCTTCTCGGATTTTGATAGACTTCAATATTTTACTCGACATATCAGCCAGTCCATTAGATGTAAATTCGTAGACGATGAACTTCACCAAATGTTCCACACTTGCCACGCCCAAAACACCAGCCGAACTGGAGATGAATTCCAGACATGTTTTAAACAACAGTGCCTGACTCTCACTCCACATATCACCCTCACTAAACTGACCCATGTTCAAAACAGCGTATTTCTTGTGCAGATCCATTAAGAGGGACATGTCCACCACTAACTTGGGTAGTTTACCCACACAGTAACTGATAACAACTTCTGGAATGTTCTTGAACACGTGCAACATACACTCAGTCACTTCTACTGGATATTTGTCCAGAATGTTGGTTATCTTTGTCATTATCATTTCTGAGAAATCAGGACATTGTTCGGTGATGTTCTTCAATACTGGTGTAAGTGTCTTAAGACATTCTCCAGTGAATCCTCTGCTGAGTATAAGTTCGATTGTAGCGAGATCAGAATCTGAAGCTTTGCTCCATTTAATCACCTTCAACAAAGTTACGAGCTTATCACTGAGATCAACTTCTGATGCGGTCGTGTTAACGAAATTCATCAGATGATTTCCCAGTTCTGGAATGCGTTCTGCCAAAGCAGCTAAATTGCACACAACGTTTTCGAATTGTTCACATGTTTCCCGGTCCAAAGAATCGAACATCTCAGTCATCAGACCAACAGGTAAGAAAACCGTGTCTGTGGTACAACCTGTCTGTATTTTCAAGAATGCAGAGAATGCCACAAAACTATGTTGGAAAGACTGAACTAAAGTTCTGATGAGATTATCACACGGACCATTGGAATTATGCATGAAGTGATAAAATACCTCACATAGTCGAGATATTTTTGAAGGTGTGTACTCAGAATTAGAGAAATGTGGTATAAACAAGCCGTTAGTAAGGTTGATCAGCGCCACATCAGTTGATACTCCTTCAGTAAGTTTAGCAAACAAAACATCTGATAACCCACTAAATCGCTCCATCATGCGAACAACATACTCAAAATTCCCACTGGCTAGCTTATCCTGGCACTTTCCAGCAAGTAATGCTACACAGTCGTCCTCATTACCAATCTCTACAAATATCCACCCTATACAAAGTGTGTTGTTGATCTCAAACTCGTTTTGTTTTATGTTGTTGAGAACGATTTGACAGGTTTCAGAGTAGTTCTCTGTGTTTGATATGGTGATTTTTAGTGGGCTTATCATATCTTCTTTAGGTGTTACAGTTGCTGCTGTTAGAGTTGCTATCATCGCTCCAATCTGAAGTGGGATAAGAAATATCAAAATTCATTCCGTACGATAGTAAAGTTTATCATCCTTCATACCGCGACAAAGAAACTATAGAACTATATAAAGAATTATAGATCACCCTCGCAAGCACTTACAGAAGACAACGAAGATTCTGGTATTCCAAAAGAATGCTTATTCTTGATTTCACTTGATATAGAGGCTACAAACGTCAGTAATGAAGTTTTCTCCGGAATTCCTTTGCACTGATTCAAACTGAAACAAGATTCAGACGATTATAATACAACTTTTCCGGTTGTAGAAAGATATAAAAATTATCAATTCAACGTGAAAGAAAATTCAGAATTTAATAAATCCAATTTCTTCTCAGCCCAGTACTACCCAGTTGTACAAACGAACCATTTAGAGGAATTTGAAAGAATGTCTTCAATCCACTTCTGATGCAAATCTTCCTTCATCCACTGGATGGCAAATAGTTTTTTTAATCATCAGATAAAATAAATCGTAAATTTTAATGTATTACACAAATTTAAATCCTGTTCACTATCAATCGACAAACAAGTCAACAAGCTGCAACTAGGTTTCCCAAAACAATTGCAAAACTTACATGTTGATAAATTACAGGGACAAGAACAGCAAAGTGAGGTAGAACTGATTGTAGCACCCCAGCGTTGAGCGCTTTGCTCTTCAGCGCATCGAGTAGCTGACCTCTCAAATCCCCCTGGGATACTGTCGACCAGAATTCTTCCTGGAATATTAGGGTTGTTTTAACTTTTAACAAGTTGATAAGGCAGTAGCAAAAAGAGCCCGCTGGTGGATATGAAACTGTTTCAGTGTATACTGACGTTTGTAGCCAGAACAAAGATGTCCTGCACGATGATCTCAACTTAGTTGTTTATTGGGCTAAGTGCAACAACATGGCCCTTCATGAGGATAAGTTCGAGCTTCTTGTTCACAAGCATTGTCCAAAGAATTCCTTGTTTGATCATCCATTCGCCATCCAAGCTCAAACATATGAAGTGTCTAACGGAAACATGATGTACCCCACTCAAACGGTGAAAGATCTAGGAGTGACAGTTTCCGCTGATTTGTCATGGACCCCACACGTCAACAGGATAGCTGAACGTGCAGGAAAAGTTGCTTCTTGGGTGCTAAGTGCGTTAAAAACGAGAGACAAAGCCACCATGATGACTCTATACAAGTCTCTCGTTAGAAGCCATCTGGAGTATTGCTGTCCTCTGTGGAATTACTCTAAGAACAAGGACATCCAACAGCTAGAAGGGATTCAGCGTTAACATCGAAAATAGATGGCACCCAGCACCTCAACTACTGGCAGAGATTAAAGGCCCTAGATCTGATGTCATTGCAAAGAAGAAGAGAACGGTATTTAATCATCAACATGTGGAAAGTTCTGCATTGCAAGTGCCCTAATGATATTGGTATCCAGTTCTCAGTGACTCTCAGACATGGTCAAAAAGCAGTTGTGCCCAGTATAGCTAAGTCCAGCAGTCAACGTAATCAAGCACTACATGACAACTCATTTGCAGTCACTGGACCTCGATTATGGAATGTAATCCCAACACATATGCACACCATCGAGGATCCTATGCAATTCAAAGCAGCTTTAACAAACTTTGTGAAGTCATTTCCGGACGAGCCTCCAGCTCCAGGATACAGCCGTCGGAATGGAAACTCCTTGCTGGATTGGAGTGGTGACAAAACAGTTTCTATACTGTCCGGGGGGGTCGACTTTTTCGATGGCCCGATAGAGGATTCTATGATGCCCCCACATCATCCAAGAACCAGTAGTTGAAATACATTTTAAAATAAATTAAACACTGCACCTTCTCAAGTGGAAAAGTCAACCAAGGCCACTTAAAAATTATACAAAAGATCAATCACATTCTGTTTAATAAATAATACCTTAATTTACTAACTGTTTTTGGAAAAATTAGACCTAAGACCCACTATTTAGTACCATGTACTAACTGTTTTTGGGAAATGGACAGATGACCCACCACTAAGTACAAAAGTACTAACTGTGTTTTGACCCACTACCCCAACGTCACGCACAGTACTCGGTACCCGAACCCCCCCCCCCCCCCCCCGCGATTAATATCAGAAAATCGTATAAATCTAGCAGCCCACTTCGATCTGCAAACAGCACCGTACACTAACCTGGTGACACGATATTAGAACAGTGACGAGCGCTGCGTAGTGCACGCTTGAAGTCTCGTGATGGCACGTGTTGAGCTGCTGTGCTAGGATCTTGTGCGCAGCAGCAGGTAGTGTGCACGTGGGCACCGCGCACAAGTCGGAGATAAAGTTGTACACGTGTCTTCTAACCTGAAATAATAATAATATTAAACAGCATAGAAGTAATATTGATCACGTGATGCCTTTCTTATCGTTTAGTTAGAAGATAGTATGGGCAAGTTTAGTCTAGTTAGGACAAAGACTGTATCACGTAATTGATTGCCTAACGCATCATGTGCCATCCAGCTACGGCCTATTATAGAAGTCATTTATAAAAGTGAGCCGACGAATTCCGCCGAGTATTATCACCTTAATAACACCAGAATGTGTGTGTGTGTGTGTGTCTGTCTGTCTGTCTGTCCGTGTGTAATTTCCGGTCGGTTATACAAAAAAAACGGTAAGAGTTACGGGACTGATTTTTTCGGTATAGTGTCGACAAAACTCTGATGAAGCCCATAGGAAATTTATTTTTAAATCGGCCGATGGTAAGTGGTTTAATTGATGGTTTTGTACCACAAATGTTACATAAAATTGCGTGAGCAGAACGGCAAGAGTTACGGGGCTTGCTCTCTCTCTAATTACTGTGTAATATGTTATAGCTGCATTTAAGTAGCGTCATAATTGGATTATCCCGGAAGATTCGCTGTAATGTTATACCTTAAGCTTATTAGGGGAGGGGGGACTGTTAGTGTTTGGGGTCTGTTTGGACTGCAGAGAGAGAGAGAGAGAGAGAGTTCATACGACAATGTTATGCGTGTTTTCAAATATAATATGCGGGTGTGGTGCGGAGTTAACAAGGGTTAATTTCTATAACGATTTAAATAAAAATAGAAAGCGGTTCAAGACGGGAGTGATGAGGTGTAATACTCGGTGTTCAGACCTTATGATCATGGAGTGTGGTGCCTCATGGCTAATAATGACTTAATTATCCACAAGAAATAACTGATTATAAGATTATTGTTTAAGAAACTATTGGGTCACCTAATGCGGGTTTTGACTCAGCGGGTAATTACTCCTACCCTTTTTAACTGCGGCAGTGAAATCCCGGCCGTAGGCCGGGTTACACTAGTATTATTATATTCTCATTTTAATTGCGGACGTAAGATGGGGGCCAGAGTAAGAGTCCAGAGCAAGTGTGCTCTAACATAGATGTTACTGGTTTCCCCAATCATATAGTACAGTCAAATCCCGTTTACTTGTGCCTGCCCTGAGGGGTCGTTCACATATTACGTAATCAGCCGAGGGGGAGGGGGTTTCCAAATGCTTACGGTTGATTACGGGAGTGTTTGGTTGTTGATTACGTAATCAACATTTTATTTTTTACCCTCTACAATAATAACAATTTGACAATATATTTTAATTCAAATTCCACTCAATTTCACTCTGATAGTGATAAAATTTGAAATTGATCGGATATCTGACTATAAGTTAAGTAGTTTGAAAGGTGCTTGGCCGGATATAATAACAATGATTTCAGCTCATTATGATCAGGGTAGCATCAAATGTAAAGAAAAGTATTTCCAGGGAAAAAAGTCAAAGGGGGGGGGGGGGGGGGGGGGGGGGGGGGGGGGGGGTCAGGCCATGATTACGTAATATTGCTGTTAGGAGGGGGGTGGGGTAAAAATTGCTAAAATATTGTTTACGTAAAGACGTAATATGCGAACGACCCTAACCAGCATTTTTCCAGCCTATAAATTCTTTGCTGCCATTGTTTTTTATATAAGTTTATTGCTGTTTAATTCGGTATTATTTGATGAAAGTTTCAAATCTAATCTATGCAGAGACCTCAAATACATAGTTTTGTTATTTTGTAATGAACCCGTTCTTAATAAATCGTTTACACCCTGTAGCACATAATGATTGTAACCTATCACAGCTTTGAGCCCGACAATGAGATAATGCCCCTAGCTACCATTCTATGCCCCTTGATAAGTACAAGTAATGTACGTATTCAAGCTATACGCCAAGATTCTCGGCTACTCCCTTTAATCACATAATCTCTCATTAGACAATGGGTCAATAAACCAAAAATTAGAAAACCGATTGTTTTTGACACTGAATATCTCATTCATCTATATTCTTTATTATAGGATAAAGCGTAGGTTTGTCGGACGAGACATGAACTATTTAGCATTGTTCTTACTGAAAGTGATCATCAACGATAAAGCTATAGGTGAAAAATTATAATTGTTTGAAAAATGTTTTTGTCTTGTACGTCTGAGTTTCGAGCTCTGAATTTATGGTAAAGCATTTTACCTGATAGCCGTAAATTTCAGGTTCTTACACGAACATAGCTAGTGAAGGAACTGCTACCCAAGTTGATACACGCCAATGGGGTGAGGCATGGAGAGCCATAGATGGCATCACTGACAATAGATGGAAACATGATGAAAGGTACCGTGAATAATGATTTAATTTGAGTCACAGTCACAATTTCCATGATATGACTTGGTTGTACCTGATAACACAGCTGAATTTAATAGTACCAGCCAATAGGGACTGCTGATAGTTTTAGCGCACGATGTTACGGCGAATTATTAATATAAAATAAACTATGGCGGCTTATTAGAGAGGTTGTACTTGTAACTTGTTTATTTAATAATATTTTTATCACCCTAAATATTATTTTCAGTAACTCTATATCCAGCACAAATTCTGCTGGAGCTAAGGCTTGGTGGATGCTTACTTTTCCTTCTCCTGTCTTCATAAGTTCCATCAAGATTTATCCCCGGTATGATTATTTTTCCAGTTATTTGAATGGGATGACTGTCCTACTAAACGACAGCAACATCTGGACGGTAGAAGACACTAATGGGATTAGAGAGATTCTTGAAGTAAACCTTCGCGGCAGCATTGTTAAGATTATAGGAGGGAGTTGGCGTATACAGATGGCAGAGGTGGAGATATATGGTCAGATAGATGGTACTGATATTATTATCTATCGAGTTAATAATTCCAAGATTTAAAATCTTACTTACTTTAGGTACTTTAGGTTGGTTTGGCAGGGATTGCTTCTGGACAACAGTAACTAGTACGTCCTCCATTCATTCCTGGTTAAGATCTTTCTGTAGATTCCATTCCAGGAGTGAGTTGTTGGTGATGGCGGTGTATCCTTTGGTTGGCGGGGTATCGGGAAACGTCTCCAAAAATCGAGCAAGTGATACCTTGAAGGGTCCTAGAGCAGTTAAACTGTTCACTTGTCGTGGGAGGAGGTTCCATAGTCTCGCTGCATTCACTCCAAAGGAATTCTCGTAATGAGTGGCCACTGATCGTTGCGATTTGTTGTTCAGTGGTGGGACTATGGCTTTTATGCCATGTCGAGCGTTTTCCTTGAATACCATGTTGATGTCATTTGGAGCAAGGTCGTTTGCCATCTTCCATGTATGGATCAGGATGTATCGCTCTCTTCGCCTCTGCAGGGAGAGCAGGTCCAGCTTCTTAAGACGGTCCCAATAGTCCAATTGCTGACAACCTAAGATACGGCGAGTGTAGTTCCTCTGAACATTTTCGATTGCTTCTATATCGGTGATTTTGCTGGGGTTCCAGACCGGGCAACAGTATTCTAGCCTGCTCCTCACCATTGTTTTGAAAAGGGTGAGCATCAGGAAAGGTGATCTGTCACTGAAGACACTGAAGACCCACGATGCCATTTTCTTAGCAGTTTTCAGCATCTGATGGATATGGGGCGTCCACGAGCAGTCATTTGAGAGGAGTACTCCAAGGTCTCTGACTGTTTGCGTTGGTTCGATAATTTCCCCGTTTGTTGAGCTGTAGCTGTAGTCTTCGTTGGAGAAGGGGAGTTCTCTCAATAGCAGGGATTTATTCAGCTTGTAGTTGATAACTTCAAATTTGGTTTCGTTTAGCTGCATGTTATTTTTCAGGGCACATTTGATGACATTAAACAGATCTTCTTCACTATTATAAAGACGATAATTGAGCGTCTCTGCACGAGCAAGATAGTAAAAAGAGCGGCAGGATGCGTAGTAACGGCATGGTAACCTGTTACAGTGCATAGCAACACGGAAATATTAAAATCATTGTATTTTCAGCACGCTGCTTGTCAGTTAACTGGGATAACGTTACCGTGGAACCTCAACTACCAGTCGATGAGGAAACCAGTGTTACCTTCAGCTGTCCTAGAAAACATGTTAACGTAGGAAGTAACACTGCTACTTGTCAAGGTGGACTGCTGAAACCGGCCCAACCTCCTAGGTGTCTTAAAACAGGTAATTTAGAAAAAAAAATCTTATAAGATGTAACATCTATTTACGCCAAATCTATCGAGGGATATGATTTGGAGTAAATAAATCATAGGTTTTGTAAAAATTAGTTAAATGATAGTTTCTGCTTTCTTGAAAATGATAAATCCATACTGTGGTCTCTTGAAACAACTTTAAGTTTTAAGTATGAAGTATAACAAGGATAACAAGCCATTAAAGCCGCGCATCCCTATTCAATTATGACAAACCGTGAAGAAGGTTGGCATTATGTGGACCAGCCGTTCTTCTCCCATGGGCAATATTATGTGGAACAAAGCAGGGTTGTGAAGAAACAAGCCCTGCCAGTGTTGATATTTGAGAGCGGACTAATTGATAAGTGTACACAGAGGTCTTTATAAAGAGAATTATTTTAAAAGAGATTTGTTTGTTCGGCATTTTACATTTATTTTGATTTTTGAATATTGTTTTGAAATTTATTCATTTCTAAAAGCGGTTTTTTATTTTTATTCAAAAGTAATCGGAAATTAATGAAAATGTGGTGTAAGGATGAGAAAGTTCCGTCTAGTTAGTACAAAGAATACATCACGTAATAGATTTCTTAACGCATCACGTACCATCCAGCTAGGCCTTTTAAGCAAAATTATTCGATTATTATTTGAAGTACATGGCCTGCTAAGCAACTGTTCTTGGATATAAAACCAGTCAAATTTGAGGTCACCACTCACCATCGTTAAAGTAGAAGTCTCTAAGAACGGTACTTCCCAGTCTGTGTAAATATAGCTATCTTTACACCCTGTAGCACATAATGATTTTAACCTATCACAGCTTTGAGCCCGACAATGAGTTAATGCCCCTAGCCACTGTTCTATG